TGTTGCCCCGGTGTTACAGTGATATAGGCACCCTCGCGTTTTGGGCATCCCTATTCCCCTGAAACCCTAGTGATCCAGTCATATGGGTATCCCCTCTAACCCTAACCCGAACCCAAACCGCTTAGGTAATATATAGAGAATACTTCATGGAAAGTGCTGGCGTACGGTATTTACGCACGAGTAGTTGACGTATCAGAAATCGAACGAGTGAGCGCAGCGAACGAATAAGATTTCTGATACAAAAACAACGAGTGGGTAAATACCGTACAAAGCACTTTCCATGTGGTATTGTGTTTATTATATACATACTGAGACATTCATCATTTTGGTGGCCTTTTTATTTTAAATCTTTCAAAAATGCTAAAAGTTGCCGCTACACACTTACCGCAAAATGACAACGAAAACGAAGTATCAGCTTTTTAGTAAAAGCGTTTGTTAAAAACATAAATGACGGTAAGGATATGAGGTAAACCAAGAACTATAAGTAATCTTAACTGTTTGTTGTCAATGCACAATTAAAAATGAGTGAATATAAGTAAAATGGCCGGTTTCAATATAAGCTTAAAGCTTAAATGAAAGGCAAAGTAGCTCCGACAAAAAGCACAACAAAAGCTTACGTCTCGTTCTGTTTATCCCTTTCCGCTGTTGTTTCGCCGGCTCTCTACCGTTTTCTTTATCGACAGTGAATTAAACGAAACTATTCCACTCCATTTCCGAAATGTTTTCACTTTTTTAGCGAAAAACTCTTTGAGTAAAACTTTTCTCGCTGAATGTGTTTGAAGCGGCGCTGCAAGCTGCAATAAAAGGCGGGAATTTTGGCGCGAAACTCACACACCTCTGTGGCTTCTGATTGGACGTATCATTTTTCTCACACGTGAAAAAACATCGTTCGCGAATCTGATTGGACGTATCATTTTTTTCACGTGTGAAAACCATCGTTCGCTCCTCTGATTGGCTTGAACTAATTTGCGTACGAAAATTTACGACATGGCTTTTTGGCGAGTATGTCTCAGTATGTATATAATAAGAGAAGAGGATGCCCATATCACTAGGGTTTTGGGCATGAGGACGCCCATATCACTGTAAGAGCGAATTGTTTTTAACTAACCGATTGTACAGTTAATGACAGGGCATATTAGTAAAGAAAACAACGTAGCCATTGTTATGGAAGTCAAACCAGTCAAAGAACAAACTCAGTTACTTTCGCACATGGTAATGACAGTTACACATTTTATTTTATCGTACCCACACAATTTTAATTGTCGGGTGTAAGAAATCTGTTGTGTCTTACTGAGTCACATTTCTCGTATATCTTTCACCTTTTAAGCCCCAAAACCCACATACCAATTCTCGATACTGATCTGCATTTTCCCGTAGCTGATCATTTTCTTTATTCTCCCAACCTTTTTTCTTCGTTATGTATCGGTATTGTTTGGAGAAAATTGATGTTGGTCACTCACGGGGACTCAACATGCAATACCGCCCCCTGTTTAAAAAAACAGCTGTTACTTCGAACAACGTAATAACTACAGATCCCTTTCTTGATCTTTAAACTTCTAATTAGCTTTACTTCAGTCTTGAAGTTCACTTTTAGGCTGGGACGATTTAGATGAATAGAACTATAAATTTACACCACATTTACACAACACTTAAAAAGTATGTTTAGGCATATTATCTTACGGGGAAAAAAAACAAACAAATACACAACCATTAACTTAACATTTTAATTAAGTCCCGCCTAAATGAACCGACTGAAATTCAAATTCAGGTACTATTCAAAATTCAATTACTCGACATCCAGGACGAAAAATATGCGTTTCGAGTGATTAACAGTTAAAATTTCACTGCCAAAAGCATAATGAAACCATTTATCATTAATTCAAAAAGAAGAATACTTGCGAAGTGAATGATTTATGACTGAATTGTCGAGAACATGGATATTTCTGAATTTAACATCAATAACGCGGCTGTTTATAAGACAGCCTGACTTGTTGTACCCCCACAGTCAACCCTTTAAGCCCAATTTCCTTAAAGAATTATTTTAAAGAATCTGATAAAAGACCAAAGTATTTACCCGATGGCTAACATTGTATTAACCCTCAAAACTTTTTCAATTGATTAGCTACTAATGATGTTTACTTTTCGGAAAAGTATTGTTGTCAGTCGCTCTTGGGACTTAAATGTAAAAGGCTAACCCATTTTAGAACTAAAATAATCAATAATCAGTTTTCAGAGTTTAAAATAAGCTTGGTAAACAAACGTTTACCAAAAGTTTACTTAGTTTGTCACGCAACGCTCCTACAAGGACATAACGTCACTTAATGACAGCCGAGAAAACTATGGCAGGTTGATACGACAGTGTTGTAAGGTAAACTATTTGTTCTTTGACAACGTACAAACCCATGAATAATCCCTACTGCTTTTGCAGGTAAGCCAAACCAAAATCCCCATTACATTTTACATGTTGTGAAATAAATTATCTAGAGTAATACCCTATTTCTAGATTTGCCGTTTTCCTTAAGGACAGTCACGCAATCTATTAGGTGAAGCAGGGAAAACGTATCGTGACCACCAGAATATTCCGTTTTAAATTATTACAACTAATAAGTTAATTTATTCTTTACATGCGTTCTCGTCTCTGGTCATACCCCAGTAAAAGGGTGAAAACTAAATTAATATATAACTCTTGGAAGTCTCAGCACATCGTTGGTACTGCACTCCAGCGCGAGAGCACCTTAACGTGACATTTACACCTCTTATTTTAAATATTATCTTCAATTATTTACTTTCCAGCCAAGAGAACGCGATGGTGTAAATTAGAGTCTGTTTCGCCATCTGAATTTCCACTTACTACAAAAAAGCAAGGGCAAAGGACAGACTTTGGAACTTACCGACCTTACTTGTATTCACGACACCACAATGATACAAAACGATTCTGCTTTCCAATTAAAAAACGTTTTGAAGTAAACCTTGTTGTGCTGCCAAGCAACACAAAAGGTTGGCACTTCAAAACACTTCCGTGTGAAAACATGCAGTTTGTTTGTCCAAACCGCTCTCTTGGATCGAAGCGTGTGAACGCAGAGATATGTTATTCATTGGTGAATGATCTATAGGTTATTTGTATCAGAGATCCCAGCTGAACAAGTGGTGTTTCACCAACATGTCTCGCACGCCATCCTTCATAGGCTGGGTAACCTGTGACAAAGTGAAAACAACGGAAAGTTAGTAGCCTGTGAGCAGGCTTACGGTTTTGTGCTGGGTTTTGCGTTGGCTTTCGCGCGTGGAGTTTACGAACTGACTCTGGTTTCGCCGTTCGCTGAGCCAGGTTGCGATGCAAACTGTCACTGATCCATGTGGATTTAGAAACCTGATTCAGTGCCTAATCAGGCCTTTTTTACTCTTGCAAGACTAAGGAGCTTTAACCGAAGTTGTTGATTTTCGTGTCAGAGAAATCATTTACTCGTAAACTTGCTACCGTTCCGCAAAGCGATTTGTTACCTCGAAAGCGGCGGTATTAACTTTCTACAATTAGAAGTTAAAAATAAACTGAATCCACTTACCTCCTTAAGATCCCGCAAGCAATAACCGGAAAAAGAGAAAGAAAATAACATTTCATCGTGAGAAAACGTTAGAATATACTGAAAATAAATATTTATTCATAACAGAACCCTTCACCAAAATTCCACGACCAATGGTTATTCAGTTCTTATACAAAAAAAATAAACCATTCTTGTTCCCAGGGCCTTGTTAATGTTCAATCTGGCAGCAAGAAGCAGAAACGCCTACTCTAGGAATTGCTGGTGGAGAACGAGTGAAAACAGGGAGGAAAAAAAAAACGCTTGTCCTCCGCTGGAAAGAGCTTTCAGGATCATGATCGTCAGTTCATGCATATCACTTGGCAGTACACGCCAGAGTTTTTCTCCTCTCACGCTATTTGAGGGAGAAAGTCCAGGTGAATGGGGTGTTGTTGGTATATTGAATTCAACAAAAAGAGTTAATGAATTAAATGAAACTTAAACTCAGAGCTGTCCCTCATCTTCTTTTAACTCTTTAAACCTTAAGATCAAAATTTGAATTCGCATTTGTTGCCCCTATTCATTTCCTACAAAAGTACTGGGGAGAAGTTGATAAAATATCAGGCAAATTCATCTTATGTGATCATGTCCGTGATTCTAATGACCACTCCGTTTTACAAAGCATTGCTATTACAAGGAGAAATTTGATGCTGATCACTCTTAGGACTTAAAGGGTTAAGGATATTAGACCGACACGTGTAGGGAAGCCGGGGACTATTCTACAACATTCTAATCCAAACTATTCAATAAACTCTTGGTAAAGATAGATTATTAAAGAAAAATAAAACAACAAAGGGCGATATTCAACAAATGATTTAGCAGCTGTAGGAAAACTACTGGCAGCCAGTTAGTGTTTACAGGAATAAATAGAAGAGAACAAGTTGTGTTTAAAAACGTGATTGTTAAGTAGAAGGATCGACTTCAAAGGTTGAATTACAAAGGCCACGATAAAAACGTGGCGTGGACCCGAGGAGGACCCATTCTGGTCCAAACAAAACAGAGGAAAGCATCTGCATGTATGATACACCAGTGCTCCTTAATACTTGGACGCATTGAGAGAAGGCGGTGCTACACAATAAACAAATGTTTTTCGCATTTCCTAAGTTACTTTGATTTTTAGGTTCTAACTGTTAACCAGAATTCTTCTGCGTAAGGGATGATACTGCTCCTTTATATACGCTAAATATATTCAGTGGTCATGGTCTGATGATGAATTCAGTTTTTGGACTCCATTTTTCTCCAAAGATGAGCATTGGTCTTGGCTACTTCAAGAGTATTACTCGAATCATCATGCGTGGTCTTTTCCGTAATCTAGCACGGGGAAACTTGAATGACAAGGACGAACGTGCAAAAAAACGCGAAAAGCGCCACAAAAGTACGACATAAATTATACATCTTCCACTTAAAAACACCTCTTTATAGTGCTTAGTAAGTGAAATATCTGCTGTACAAAGCCAAATGTAGACAATAAAACCAATATCTAACCTGGAACTTCTTTTGACTGACGTACCCATCTACAACCTGCTATGAAACACACAGTTTAATATTTAAGCCTAATTACCCTTACAGCCATAAGATATGCACAGTATCTCAATGCAAACATCTTTACAATATCACGTGGGAATGACGCAGATATCATGCATGCTCTGCCTATCCACACTGACTCTGAACAATTCTCTATCATAAATAAAAGCACCTGTAAACCTCTATCTTTAGCAAAAAAGAAAGTTAATTGCTCCTTTCAACACTCATTAAACACAAAACCCCTATAAGACGAGCACTTTTAACATATAAACTGGTATGTGTTTCTTCAATGTAAGGCTAGACGGTTATAACAAGGTAGCCGGCATCTGTAAATCCTTGTCTTTAACCAAAACAAATTAATTTTTGCGTTCCCAACACCATTCATATTACACACAAACCCCTTATAAGGTGAGCATTCTAAACATTTCAGAAAACTAATCGGTGTTTCTTGAATGTAAGGCCAGACGGTTATACCAAACTAGCGAGCACTGGCGTGTAATGCAGACACAGCGCAAGAGAACAGAAAACACAAATCGGGTCCCTTGTAGAAGTGTAAGTTATCAGCGAACCAGATGAAATTAGTTAAAAAGACACTGTTATTCACTAGATACGCGGTAGTGAGAGTTGGTTAGTCACGAGAGAAACTATTAGTAAGAACAATGTTTCATTTCTCCCACCTCTTAAAATCCCTTGCACTGAGAGCTTGTTTGAAGGACATCTATTGACCAGTAGGGTATACAGTCAGAATACTCTTCCACTTCTCGTCTTTACCCTTATACAAGAAAATTTTTCCCCACTCATCCCGGGTATTCTAAGATACTTACAGTCTTGTGTTCCCCAGTCAGCTCCCAGTCGATGTTGAGATTAAAAGCAAAGGAAGCGAGAGTTCTGAAGGACGAAGGAAATGTCATTGAAAATCGATGACGAAAACCAGTTCACATTTTATTACAAATCTATCTCGAGTTTTCAGCTTATCGTGTCCGATTACCTGGGGCTACTGAATTTTGCAATCGGGGCAGGGAATTCTGTCCTTGACTTGCCCGACGGGCACGTGAACGTTTCGGGGGAATTCAAATTACAGAAGTACTGCAAGACAGATTACTTCAACTCCTAATAAATTCATGTGGATCGACAACGATTTTTTTTTCTGATCTGATGCACGCATATGAGGTTTTAGGGTTGCGTTCTAGCTAACAAGGGACTCATTAAGATTTATTACTCATCACTTATAAGTGAAGGTTTTTACCTGAGTTCACACTTAATTTGTACCCATCCTGGACTTCTCAGAAACGACCATGGATGGTACCTAGAATTCATGAGAAGAAGATAGCCCTTTGTCAGGTTATCCAAGTAAGTTCGTCACGCAACAGCGTTTCAAGACAAGGTCATTTATACTTCGTATTTTTTTTCACTTCTTAGTGCCATTATGGTCAGCGAATATCAGTAACGAGTAATCCACCAGCCACGTAACTTAGCAAAAGATGAGCCAACACTACTAAGAGGGTGTTGCAACAGACACAAAAGGGTAGCGGTGTTTAAAACTGAATATCAACGGCACTTAGCCTGTCCACAGTCTTTTTTCAAGGAATTTATAATTGTGACTCCCACCCCCTTGCGCAAGGGATCAATAACCCCTTCCCCCCCAACCGCGGTTAAACGAGCTCACACAACAGATAAGTATCCATCTCATTTAACAGTCATGATCAAAGCTACAGAAGGGAAGGAATCAATGTTACGTACCACTTTCCAACGATATCTTCACATGCACATAGCGTTTCCAGCCAGAGATGAAGGCATTGTTCGCTATTAAAAAGATTGAAACAATAATAATTGAAATTCAACCATCTTGCCTTGTCTCAAAACACTTGTGGCACAACTTTAGGTCGAACGGTTAAAAGCTAAGGTATTGAAGGCAAACTATATAAACAGCCGAAGAAATACATAGTAGTTCACTTACTTTAGGCCGTAGCATATAAGTGAGCGAAACTGAAAGAAAAAAAAGCAGTGTAAGTCACACAATTGAGAACGCAGATTGATAGATGCAGTGTTTGAAATTTTGTTTCTTTTCCTTATATTTTCACATCAGTGATGAGCTTACCTTGATATCCATTTGTGAATTTGCAGCATCGTGACTCATGTTTATTGACTGAACCGCCTAAAATACGAATTAAAAACATAATAAGCTTCCTTATTTCGTAAGGTTGACATCAGCGCCTGAATCCCCCAGTTTATCTGCAACTTAAATCCCTTAATTTACGGTAAAATTTCCCGTCAGCAGCGAATACCCGAAAAGCGATCATCTAGAGGTCACAATACAGGAGCTGGTCGTTTAAGAGAATGAACCATGCTCACAGGGTATCTTCCAAGAAGACGTCCGAACAAATCTACTATAAGAAAGAGTAAATTACGATATGTGCAGTTTCTATGTTGAAACTAAACGTTCTCTGTATACTCTGAGTAGCGTCTACGATTCAGGGAACGTTACGTCGAAGAGATCAGACCCTGCATCACGTGATCGCTTTCAAGAGGTTGGGACAAGAGAGGTTCCAACTGTAGTGATTTGACTGGGAGAAGTTTGGTGTTTTGGACTGGTATGGTGGTCGCCGATGAGAGGTGGTAGCTAAGGTTTGACTGTATTAAAGGGAGAAAACTGGTCCCGAGTAGCAGTAACCTGCGATCAGGCGGGTTTTATTATTTTAAGACATGGTAGGGAGGGCATAACTGTTCACAAATGGAGCTACAACTATCACTCAGTGTGGACTTGCACACATTTTAAAGGGAACCTCCACTCTTACTACAGAATAAGTTTAAATCGAATAAAATTATGTTGATAAAAAAATTTGTTCGAAATTGGTCCTTAAAAAAAGTGTTTATATCAGGAAAAGTGAATTTTAAAATCGCTTATTTTCACTTTCAAATTTCGCGGGCGCCGCCATCTTGAATAATTGTGACGTGTTACGGTTGCTCTATTGTTCTGACACAAAAACAAAGGGCGATATTCAACAAATGATTTAGCAGCTGTAGGAAAACTACTGGCAGCCAGTTAGTGTTTACAGGAATAAATAGAAGAGAACAAGTTGTGTTTAAAAACGTGATTGTTAAGTAGAAGGATCGACTTCAAAGGTTGAATTACAAAGGCCACGATAAAAACGTGGCGTGGACCCGAGGAGGACCCATTCTGGTCCAAACAAAACAGAGGAAAGCATCTGCATGTATGATACACCAGTGCTCCTTAATACTTGGACGCATTGAGAGAAGGCGGTGCTACACAATAAACAAATGTTTTTCGCATTTCCTAAGTTACTTTGATTTTTAGGTTCTAACTGTTAACCAGAATTCTTCTGCGTAAGGGATGATACTGCTCCTTTATATACGCTAAATATATTCAGTGGTCATGGTCTGATGATGAATTCAGTTTTTGGACTCCATTTTTCTCCAAAGATGAGCATTGGTCTTGGCTACTTCAAGAGTATTACTCGAATCATCATGCGTGGTCTTTTCCGTAATCTAGCACGGGGAAACTTGAATGACAAGGACGAACGTGCAAAAAAACGCGAAAAGCGCCACAAAAGTACGACATAAATTATACATCTTCCACTTAAAAACACCTCTTTATAGTGCTTAGTAAGTGAAATATCTGCTGTACAAAGCCAAATGTAGACAATAAAACCAATATCTAACCTGGAACTTCTTTTGACTGACGTACCCATCTACAACCTGCTATGAAACACACAGTTTAATATTTAAGCCTAATTACCCTTACAGCCATAAGATATGCACAGTATCTCAATGCAAACATCTTTACAATATCACGTGGGAATGACGCAGATATCATGCATGCTCTGCCTATCCACACTGACTCTGAACAATTCTCTATCATAAATAAAAGCACCTGTAAACCTCTATCTTTAGCAAAAAAGAAAGTTAATTGCTCCTTTCAACACTCATTAAACACAAAACCCCTATAAGACGAGCACTTTTAACATATAAACTGGTATGTGTTTCTTCAATGTAAGGCTAGACGGTTATAACAAGGTAGCCGGCATCTGTAAATCCTTGTCTTTAACCAAAACAAATTAATTTTTGCGTTCCCAACACCATTCATATTACACACAAACCCCTTATAAGGTGAGCATTCTAAACATTTCAGAAAACTAATCGGTGTTTCTTGAATGTAAGGCCAGACGGTTATACCAAACTAGCGAGCACTGGCGTGTAATGCAGACACAGCGCAAGAGAACAGAAAACACAAATCGGGTCCCTTGTAGAAGTGTAAGTTATCAGCGAACCAGATGAAATTAGTTAAAAAGACACTGTTATTCACTAGATACGCGGTAGTGAGAGTTGGTTAGTCACGAGAGAAACTATTAGTAAGAACAATGTTTCATTTCTCCCACCTCTTAAAATCCCTTGCACTGAGAGCTTGTTTGAAGGACATCTATTGACCAGTAGGGTATACAGTCAGAATACTCTTCCACTTCTCGTCTTTACCCTTATACAAGAAAATTTTTCCCCGCTTATCCCGGGTATTCTAAGATACTTACAGTCTTGCGTTCCCCAGTCAGCTCCCAGTCGATGTTGAGATTAAAAGCAAAGGAAGCGAGAGTTCTGAAGGACGAAGGAAATGTCATTGAAAATCAATGACGAAAACCAGTTCACATTTTATAGCAAATCTATCTCGAGTTTTCAGCTTATCGTGTCCGATTGCCTGGGGCTACTGAATTTTGCAATCGGGGCAGGGAATTCTGTCCTTGACTTGCTCGACGGGCACGTGAACGTTTCGGGGGAATTCAAATTACAGAAGTACTGCAAGACAGATTACTTCAACTCCTAATAAATTCATGTGGATCGACAACGATTTTTTTTTTCTGATCTGATGCACGCATATGAGGTTTTAGGGTTGCGTTCTAGCTAACAAGGGACTCATTAAGACTTATTACTCATTACTTATAAGTGAAGGTTTTTACCTGAGTTCACACTTAATTTGTACCCATCCTGGACTTCTCAGAAACGACCATGGATGGTACCTAGAATTCATGAGAAGAAGATAGCCCTTTGTCAGGTTATCCAAGTAAGTTCGTCACGCAACAGCGGCGCAAGACAAGGTCATTTATACTTCGTACTTTTTTTCACTTCTTAGTGCCATTATGGTCAGCGAATATCAGTAACGAGTAATCCACCAGCCACGTAACATAGCAAAAGATGAGCCAACACTACTAAGAGGGTGTTGCAACAGACACAAAAGGGTAGCGGTGTTTAAAACTGAATATCAACGGCACTTAGCCTGTCCACAGGTCTTTTTTCAAGGAATTTATAATTGTGACTCCCACCCCCTTGCGCAATGGATCAATAACCCCTTCCCCCCCAACCGCGGTTAAACGAGCTCACACAACAGATAAGTATCCATCTCATTTAACAGTCATGATCAAAGCTACAGAAGGGAAGGAATCAATGTTACGTACCACTTTCCAACGATATCTTCACATGCACATAGCGTTTCCAGCCAGAGATGAAGGCATTGTTCGCTATTAAAAAGATTGAAACAATAATAATTGAAATTCAACCATCTTGCCTTGTCTCAAAACACTTGTGGCACAACTTTAGGTCGAACGGTTAAAAGCTAAGGTATTGAAGGCAAACTATATAAACAGCCGAAGAAATACATAGTAGTTCACTTACTTTAGGCCGTAGCATATAAGTGAGCGAAACTGAAAGAAAAAAAAGCAGTGTAAGTCACACAATTGAGAACGCAGATTGATAGATGCAGTGTTTGAAATTTTGTTTCTTTTCCTTATATTTTCACATCAGTGATGAGCTTACCTTGATATCCATTTGTGAATTTGCAGCATCGTGACTCATGTTTATTGACTGAACCGCCTAAAATACGAATTAAAAACATAATAAGCTTCCTTATTTCGTAAGGTTGACATCAGCGCCTGAATCCCCCAGTTTATCTGCAACTTAAATCCCTTAATTTACGGTAAAATTTCCCGTCAGCAGCGAATACCCGAAAAGCGATCATCTAGAGGTCACAATACAGGAGCTGGTCGTTTAAGAGAATGAACCATGCTCACAGGGTATCTTCCAAGAAGACGTCCGAACAAATCTACTATAAGAAAGAGTAAATTACGATATGTGCAGTTTCTATGTTGAAACTAAACGTTCTCTGTATACTCTGAGTAGCGTCTACGATTCAGGGAACGTTACGTCGAAGAGATCAGACCCTGCATCACGTGATCGCTTTCAAGAGGTTGGGACAAGAGAGGTTCCAACTGTAGTGATTTGACTGGGAGAAGTTTGGTGTTTTGGACTGGTAT